ATTAAAACATCAGAAGAAATGAAAGTAATTAGATTTTGTCGCCCCACTCTTATTGTCAGCTGACCGCATCTCATCATCTGTGCCAACATTCGTCATCATCATTATCATTTCAACATCATTATGCCGATTGTATAAAACATCAAGACAACAAAAAAACTGGCCAAAAATTTGGAAACCAATTTTATTTCAAACCAATAATTACAAAAACCGTTTTTGAATTTTTATTGTTTAAAGAATTTTTTCAGCTTTTATGAATATTTTCCACGCTTTTTAAACATTTTTTTATAAACTGTTTTATAATATTTATGAAAATCTTCATAACCTTTTTTAAAATATTTTCACAATTTTTATAAAAAAATTTCCTATTTCCCATAACTTTCCTTTTATAATTCCATATAAAACTTGCTTAAATTGCCTTCCTTGATTTACTGATTTATCTGCCCATGCAAACAGATATGGGCATATGGCTCCCGAAAGATTCCACTCGTATTTATATTGGGCTGGCTCTTGTTTGTGTTACACTGGGCTATGTTCTGCGCGGTTATGTTCTGTTATTATTTTTGATAATGTTGTTCCTCTCATTTTCTCTCTGTTATGCAGCATTACTTTGACGCGTTGTTGACTTTGGGTCCTATCCTGGTGTTTCAATGTTTCACTGCGTCATATTCCGTTGTGTCTTGTTAATTTGCATCAAATTGATTTGTGAGAATTTATCATTCCAGATTGTAGATGAATTAATGTTGTGCTGATATAACGTTACATCGTGTTACATCACAATGAGAGCCAGTGGAAGCTGCAAGGTAAACAGAATTTTTCCACTGAATATAAACGATTCGCACTACGAACAACTCTTCATTCCCATGTTTGCACTCGTGTCTTTGTTTGCATAAGCACGAAAGCGTATGGTTTCGTATGCAAATGTATGTATGCATGTATGAGTTTGTTTGTTTGTACGTGATGTCTGGGAAAGTATGTTCTTATATGTCTGTCTATCTGATAAAATATGCACGTGAAATGTTTGGAAGTTTTCAATTGGATTGTGTTGATTTGTTAGCTGCCGTAGAATGGCTGGCTCTTTTAAATAATTCACATGTGAGCAGACGATTACGTGCCTCTGTCTAATTCCCGCTAATTTTATGGACGAGTTGTTTTATACTTTCGTTTAGGTCCGCTGCTCAAAAATGTCTTCCATGCATACAATTTGAATTGCATGGCTGTTTTTAGTGATGTTGATTGTGCAATAAGTACTGCAAGCCTCTCTCTACTTGCGTCATGTTGAATGTATGAGCTAATTTATCTGTATGTCTGTATGCAAATTTGTGTGCAGATATGTGCGTTTATCTGTTTGTGCATGAGTCAGTGTGTGCATGCTGATGAAATATTTACCTATGTAATGTAACCCTTGTAGGCTTCAGTTTGTCTATCTCTTTGTTTGTCTATTTGTCTGTCTATCTGTTTGTCTATCTGTCTGTTTGTCAATCTATCTATGCTGATAAATGTATAAACTATTTCTGCTTGCGATTTCTTGTTTTTGTTTGTACGTGTCTGTGTGTGCGTGAATATATACGTGCGTATCTGCGTGTGTATGCGCGTATCTGTTTTCGTATGTGTGTGCACGTTCTGTGAGCGTCTGCTCGGATAAAATTCAAGCACCTTCAAACCTGCGAAGGAGTGTTTGAAGAATATATTGATGAAAAAATAAACGGATTAATTTAGATAAATCTTGTTTGTGCTTCGTCTTTCTTGGTTTGCTCGACAATTTCTGTGGCTGTGCGTCTGTGTGTGAGAGCGAGCGTGTGTGTGTGTGTTTGCGTGTGTTTGTGCGTACATGCGTGCAATTCATTTGTATGTGTGTCTGCATGTGTGTGTCTGTATGTGCCTAAGTGCAAACATTTTGGTTTTGCTTTTATTTCTATAGGTCACATCATGTTTATACAAATTTATAATTTAATAAATGATTTTAAACTCAATACGAACCAACGCGTGCGTTCGTTACAGGTTTTTGGTCATGTATTTTTGAGTAATTTGTTCTTTTTTTTATAGAAGTATATCAAGATAGGGGTGACGTGTCCGTCTGGTTATATTTATTATACCATTTATTTGCTGGCAAGTCAGCTGCCCGGGGATACCAAGATGAAATCAGACGACTCGTTTAAGAAGTCCTCTATGTAATGCCTACCTTTCAGATGGTCGGCCCTCTGCTTGATGTTGTTTATTTTATGAAAGTGTTACGTAGATGATCACGTAATGTCTGTGGTGGGGTTAGATAACTAGGTCAGTAGGTCAACTATGGGAGTTACATTACATTTCATACAGATCATGATTCTATTTATCTGCTTGTCAGCCAATTCTTCATTCAATCTCTCAACCAGTCAGTCAGTCTGTCTATTGCTCCAAAAATAATCAATCAACCATTAAATCATTCATCCAATCATTCATTCAATCATTCAAACCATTTATTCAATCATTCATTCAACCAATCAATCACCAAGCAAAGGAACGTTTGAACATTCAACTCCATCCATCAGTGAACATCACTTTGCATGCATATTTCGATTGGGTTGGACGTTTTACAATTTCAACAATTGTTTACTCAATTAATTAGCTTATCAATTAATTAATTTATCAGTTAAACTATTGTATTCATTACATACATTTTTGTCAAAATCAACCAATAACAAACCAAATATTGATAACATTTGTGATAAACATTTTATGAGAATTCACCTCAAAATTGTATCAAATCTCATTTTTAAAAAGCATGCCCATTCAAATCGACCGACAACCAATCAATCAATCAATCAATCAATCAATCAATCAATCAATCAATCAATCAATCAATCAATCAATCAATCAATCAATCAATCAATCAATCAATCAATCAATCAATCAATCAATCAATCAATCAATCAATCAATCAATCAATCAATCAATCAATCAATCAATCAATCAATCAATCAATCAATCAATCAATCAATCAATCAATCAATCAATCAATCAGCCAAAAAACCAATCATTCACCCAACAAACCAATCATTCAACCATTACACCATTCGCTGAAACAATCCATCAAACAAAACACTGACCATTTGTTTGGCAGGGTTATTTCTCTTTTATTTATTTTTTTCATTATATATATATTGTGTTTTTTGATAAACATTTATTTTTCAGTTTTTTATGATTTTTATGTTTTTTTTTCAATTTTTCAGAGCTTATTTCATTCCTTCGTAATTCTAACCATCCATCCATCACTCGACATGACTTTCATCAATCAACCTTCCAATTTAGATTATCACGCTTATGAGTTCAACCGGCAGACTGCAAATAACTGACAACTTTTTAACCAAACAAGCAAGAAACAGTCATTCGTATGACCAAACAACCAGTCAAAATTCAATCAACAAACCAATCATTCAATCAATGAACATTCAATCAACCAACCAGTCAAACAACTAACTGATCAATTGGCTGAACAGAAACCAAACAACTAACTAACCAACCAACCAACTAATCAAAAAACCAATTAATCAACCAACCAACTGGCCAACCAAGCAGTATTTTACAGGAAAGATGCATGCACATCTCGAGATAAGATGAGTCAATTGAACTGCTCAATAGATCACCCATATTTTTATTGTTCGTGAAATTTAATTGAAATTATTTAAGCGTGTGTGTGTGTTTGTGTGTATGTTTGTGTGTGTGTGTACGCGCGTGTATGTGTGCATGTGTACATGTTTCTTTTTCTTCTTCCTTTTTAAAGGATGATGCATATCGACAAATCAATTAAATAAATGTCAAGTTGTCAGGAATTTTTCAGAAAAAACATTTGTGTATTTATACATGCATGCATACATACAAATGTTTGTTTTATTATTTTCAACTTTATTTACAAAACTTTTTTGGTCACAATCATCATTATTAACTTTTGATTACATCATATTTGTAATCATCATGGATATTTATAAATGGTTTTATCTTCATCATCATCAACATCACCACCATCTTAACTATCGTCATCATCACTAGCAACACCACCATCTCAACCATCCTCATTATTATCATCATCATTATCATCATCATCACATTAAAGAAAGCCCGAATCTCGCTGTCATCATCCCATCATCATCGTCAACATCCTATTAATTAAAAAACTTATCATTATTATCATCATCGCCGTCATCATCATCATCATCATTATCATCATCATCATCTATCATAACTATCAACATCATCATCGTTGTAGTTTGGAATATTCCAGAAAGACGACGGTCAAGTAACACGGCTTGACTGACAATTCTATTTGGACATCATATTTTCATGAAATTTTTTTTAGGACTTCTCATCATTATTTATGCAGGCTTCTGATTGCGTGTTCACGCTTTCATATGTGCTTTCAAACGTGTTTTTTTGTGTACGTGTGAATTTGTATGAGTGTGTGTGTGTGTGTGTCTGTGTGTGTGTGTGTGTTTGTGCAATGTGTATGTACGTAAGAGTTTTATATATATTTGTGTGTAATATTGAGTGTATGTAATCAGCTTAAAATATTTCGTGCAATTATCTTTATCCCTTAGTGTAAAGGTGTAAACGACTGATGTATGCGTTCGTATGTTTGACAGTTTAGATTTGTATTGTGTGTGTATGTGTGTGTCTGTATGTATGTTTATATGTGTATCTATACATGTGTCTGTATGTGTACTGTTAAAATTTTAATTAATATTTCATGTAGGAAACTTAGTGCTATATGTTTATAGCAATAAATTTTTGTTGGTCAAATTTTTTATCCCCATAAATACGTCATCATCATCGTTATATTTATAATAATGACGTATTATAAAATATTTTCATGATTATCATCATCAACAACATCATCATTGCCACCACCATCATCATTTTCAAGGTGATCATTTTATTTGATGCTAGCATCATTTTGTCGTCATAAAATTATAATAATTTTTTTCATAATCATTGTACTTTTAATTTTAACAATCACTATGTTCAAAATGTTTAACAGGTAGGCTATAGATTATTTTGAGATATCCACCACAACGACAACATCATAAACATGAGCAAGAGCATGGTCATGTGGATGATAATATGGTCATCACATTTTTATCTTCTTCATCTTTGTATTCACGTCCATATATTTATGACTATTTTACCATCATCATCCTCATCATCATCATCACCCCTATCATCGTCGTCGTCATCATCGTCATCATCCCACATACCGTCTGTCTTGTCATCATTATCGGCCAAGGCAATATCCATGAATAATAAGTTCATTCCTGCATCATCATCATCATCGCCATCACCATCATCACTATTATCATCATCGCCATCATCACTATTATTACCATCATCGTCGTCGTCGTCATCATCTTCATCATCATCACCGAAACATTCAACGTTAACAGCCTTGCCATCGTCATTACAGTTACTATTATTATCGTCATTTTTGTCATCGTCATCATCATTCCCAACTGGTGTACAAAATCTATTGTCATCACCATTAACATCTTCATCATCATCCTCCTCTTCTTCTTCTTCTTCTTCTTCATCCTCTTCTTCATCACCATCCCCATCGCCATCCTTTCTATCTCCATCTCCTAACTTTGCATCTCTTCCATTATTTTTATCATCATCGTCGTCATCATCGTCTGATGATATGAAAGTAAATTCATTTGCACGGAGGGATGAAACAGCTGCTAATGAACGACACGACTTCACACAACAACACAAAAAACCCCAAAAACAACAACACCCACATTATCAACAAACCAAACATAAACAACACAGACACCAACAAAGGCAGCATAAACCAGTTCAGCGCCGTAAAAAGCATTTGCACCATTACCGTCACCAACCACAACAACACAATCAACAATCTGAACATTCGAAACAAAATCAAAGGCAACGACAAAATTTTCAACAAAAGCCAAATTTGCCGCTGCATCAAATTACCCGCGAATTAAAACAACAACAACAGTGGCTACAACAAAATAACACCACAGCCAACACAGATGACATTAATCTTTCAAACAACATTAAAAACACATTAAGCAGCAAGAACAGCACCCGAAACAAAAACGACAGTTTCAGCAACGACAACAATGACATCAAGCACAACTGTAGCAACACTAACATCAACCATTGCAACAACAACCTTCCTGACGGCCAGCAAGATAACATGAAGAACAGCAACATTATTGCTGATGACTTGAACGTGCAAGAGGACAACATCATAAACGATGGCAGTCCAACAAAGGGGACCATTAGCGTGAGGCGTGTTAAAAAAGGTAAGAGAACGCTAAAAGTAAGTGCACTTGTCGCTGACAACAACAGCTTGACTCAACAAAACAACGACAACGACATCGTCAGTGATAACAAACACCACCACCAAGAACAACAACGTGCACCAGCATCACACAAGGGCAACAGGAATATAACATCGACAGCCCAACTTTATTGCTACATGAATGGTCATCTGATCGATTACGAGCAGATGAAACTTTATTTTCTATCTATCTTGACCTCGCAACAAAATCAACAACAAACTAATCCGACACAGTCTCAAACGCCGCCAACCAATCAACGCCCTCGACCAAAACCTTCCGACACTCACCAACCAATCAGGAAAGGTCAGCCTCATATCAACTACGGCAAAAATTCGAAATTTGCTTCGAAATCTCGAGATTACGACGACGAGAACGAACGACAATACGACAGTTCGCTAGGGGGAGGAGTTTCACAGGACAAAGACCCAAACTATTGGCTGGTGCCACCTTTCCTCATCGGGGCCTCCAGCATCGTCTTTGCTTACGTCATCATTCACTGCCTCTACACCTACTGCCACTGCAACGGCAACAGGAATGCCAGGAACTGCAAAAACAATCACAACGCTAATCAGAATAGTTATAACAACAATAATAACAACAATAATAACAAAAATAATAACAATAGGTCGAGGTCGAATCGCAAGCCAACTGTAAGGAGAGTTCATCTGATGAATGCGCCAGTGGGTGCTGGAGGTAATATTGCGGTGGGCGGTCTGGGGAGTAACGTAAAAATTAGGTCAGTTCATGGTGTTAAACTTGTGTAGTAGTTGATTTCTTTACAGGTCTTTTTGAATAAATTTAGTTGAGGAAATTTCTTCTTTTATTGTTGACAATTTTTGTTTTGATAATTTTTCATAAAAAATTGTGTTGGTTTTTATAGCATATTTTATAGCATATCTTAATGCAAATAGTTGTTGAAATTTGCTAATGTTGCTACTGCATTTTGTTTCTACTTTTAATCACTACACATTCCATTATTGTATTAACATTCGTTACAATCTTCCATTCTCTTTGAAGGTCGATACCGACCCACCAGCATGGTTACCCCACCAAACTCCCACCGAACCACCCCATTCCTACAATTCTTTTCAGCAACAACAACAACGATGAAACAAAAAATGACGTCATCTCAACACAAACTTCAACAACTGCAACAACAACAACAACAAAAACAACAATCACAACGGCTCCCACCCCTCAGAACAACGCTTCAAACATTCCCGCATTTTTGGACAGCTTGAAAGATTGTAGCGAAGCGACGTCTACCTTCGGTTACGACAATTCATTGCTCGGGTTCGACAGTTTCTCCATATTGAACCAAGCCCACCGCCGATATTCGCACGTCCTGCCGATCGTGAGCTACAGCGACGCCGACGACATGTCGCTGACTAACAAGACCGCCAACAACACCTTGAATACGAATCTCGATAGCACAAACGCAATTTTTAGTCCGAACGCAAACAGCGATGCATTCAACAGCATTGCAGTCAGCAACAACTCCTTGAGTCCCAATCAGGTTTTTGAAACAAGACCATTCCTCGTTTTTGAGTCGGATGATGATGATGATGATAATTTTGATGATAACGATGATGACGAAAGTGAAGCGCTATACAATAGCAATGATAACAATAACGATGGTGATGGCGACGCAAAAACAAAAAAGAAGAAAAGCAAAAAAGACAAAAAAATGAAAAGTGAATCGCAATCGCAATCACGCAGGAAGAGCGCACTTTTGCAGATACCACAAGCGATCGGCAGACGATTATCGCAAACACGATTCAGTTTTTCATCAATAACAAACGAGAGAAACAATGAATCGAAATGTAATCGAGTCAGTCGCCAGCCTCGGGCCAGCATCTGCTTCCTCCCCGTGGCAAGAACTGTCAGCGATCCAAGCTGCTCTATGTTGCAAGTTGTTGTACCGACCCAATCCAATTCATCGGTCTTTCTCAATCCCAACTCCTCCCAAAGGTCATCCATTTTAATTGCCGATCCCTTGCAGCAGCAACAACAGCAGCTGACGCAACAGCTTCAATCAGTACAACAGCTGCTGCAGTTTCAACAGCAGCTACAAATGCAGCAGCAGCAGCAACAGGTACAACAACAGCAAATGCAACAACATTTCATGCTTGGCGATGATTCGGCAATAGCTTCAAACACAACGATTTCATCAACAATAACGACAACAGCATCATCATCAACAACAACATTGGCAACATCAATTACAGCAATACCAACACTTCTAATATCGTGCGCTACGGAAACATCACTGAACCAGTTCAACGAAAACAATTTAGAAAGCAACAACTTCAGTAAAGACGACATCCACCAAGATGACAACAAAATGCCTCAAAACAGCAACAAACCAGCAACAAACTCTAACAACAAAACTACACACACCAACACAAACATCAGCAACGACAATAGCATCTTTCAGTCTAGCGAACTTTTATTCAAAACGCCGGAACTAGATTGCGGCCAACCGGAAATGACAAAGTAGATGTGATGACGTTGGAGTACAAAAATACTACATCCGGCCAACAAACGCACGAATACTATCATTTATGTGACGCTGGATTAGAAAAATTATTTTTATTGACAGCGGACGAAATTGCATCTTTTTGTCTTGATGTTGTTTGTTTTTGTCGCAGATGATGTTAATTGATGGTATGTTGGAAAACTGTCAAAAATTTTACAATTTTGCTGAATGGAGAACATGTTTTGGTTTTGTAAATTAGATGTTGCTTCTAAAAATAACTAATTATTTTCGTTCATATTTTCAACGTCAACATTCAAGTAAGTAATTTATTTCAACCTATTCATCAGATTCTTCATCACTCAACGAACATTTCCCATTCACTGATCAGTGAAATGAAATAATTTGATTGGAAAAAATGAAATAAAAATATTTTTGGAACACCGAAGCATCCTACCGATTTTCATTTTGTTGAATAATTTCAGTACATATCAACCGGCAAATCTTATTTTTCAACAATTTGAATGCATTCTTGTGTTTTACATTAGCACTTCGCAATTTATTACATTAGTTACATCTCTTCATAATTAGTTAATTAACCAATTAATTAATTAATCAATTATTTTTAATATAATCAAACCCTTGTATAGAGAGCTTTTTTGATATTTCATAACATTTTTTAAGAATTTTAATCTTTAAATAATCAATTAAACACTTCTTTATTGATATTTGAATTTATAAAATGATAAAATTGATTGTTTTAAATAGTTTAAAATATTTCAATTAATTAATTTTTAATTATACCCTTTAAAATTGCATATTTTCTTTTGTAGCGTTAGTTGAAACATTAAAAATACGTATGTTTTATCTCATTTGGAATGAACTGATAAAAAAAAAATATAAAAAAATTTGTTGATTGATTGATTACTTAATTAGTTAGTTAATTAATTAATTGATATTTTCACGTGAAATTAATTAATATTAATATTATAATTTATCAACCCGCCTTCCTTAAATTTAAATTTAGATTGATGATTATCGAAAATGTGTTATTTTGCTTGTTATATTCAGAAAATTGTTAATTTGTTAATCAATTAATTATGTTAATTCTCTAAATATGTTAATATATTAGCATAAAATGTTATGATAAATTCATAATGTTATAATTGTTTGTTTTGCGTAGCGCATGTAGACAAACTCTCTAGGATTTAGATAATATTTGGCCGAAGAAACAAATATTGCTGTTTAAATGTTCTTATAAAAACGACAAAACACCACTACGTAGGCCTATGTCCAAATTATTAATTTAATATTTTTAATAAATTAAACTATTTCTACAAAGTTTAAGAAGTTTTTTAAAAAATAATCGCTGAAAATGTTTGATATTTCTTTATTTATTTTAGATTAGGAATTAAACTATAGTACTCGAGTCCAGCGTTTAATACATAAAAACCACATATAAAAATACAAAAAATATAACATTTAAAAATTAAAATCAAAAATAATTTTTTAATACTATTTACTTTTTTATCGAATTGGACTAGGTTAGACTGCCAATAATAATTTAAACATCAGGCTCTTGGTTCCGTAGTTTGATCGCTTCAGAGATTAAATTTTACGCCAACAAGCATACATTTTTTTGAATTTATCTAGTTAAATTTCACAAAATTTGTAATATTTCTTTCAAGAACCACAAACAAGTTATTTTTTGAAGAATTTTATCCCTCATTCAATGCGTTTAAAACTTGAAAGTAATTTGCGACATAAAATATAGAGTTAAATAGTCGTTGGTCCGAATGTGCTACAGGTGTTAATAACATAACTGATCAAATCAGGTGCGTAAAATCAAAATTTTGATTTATCTTTTCATCATAATTGAAAATCTAGGCAAGCGATATATAGTCTAAATCTTCTGTCTTATAGTTTTATATTCTGTGAAGTTTTCTTTTGAAGTTTTTTTGCAATATTTACCCCGGTTCTTTTTAAATTAATTGTATCACCACTAAGAGTGCAATTTCAAAGGAGATAAGCAGGTACAAAAATTGCAGGTACAACTCCGATAATATGGACATAGACACATTTGCACAACCACATATACATACAAACACCATGCACACGCACACGCATACATAGGGTCGCATACACGCACATATACAATCACACGCGTGTATATTCATGCATCAGTAGCATTAAGCTGGATGCGTTCATGCATTTTATAATTCATTTTATCTTTTAAGCTTATCACGGGAGAGTTCTCTAAATTAAAAGTTAATTGCGTTCTTACATTTGCATCTAAACTCTAACGTTTTGTTTTTTAAACAAACTTCTGCTATTTTTAAGGTAGTTTTATTGAAAATAAAAAAAAAACAATACATACGTTTGATTTTAAATAAAATTTACATAATAATATTACAATATAGTATCGTAGTAGTAATGTTAATATAATACTGCTAAGTTCAATTGCACATTAATAAAGGAAGGAATGAGTGAGTGAATGAATGAATGAATGAGTGAATGAATGAATGAATGAAGGAATGAATGAATGAATGAATGAATGAATGACAAATAAATAAATAAATAACACAGAATGAATGAATGAGTGAATGACTGATTTAATGAATGAATAACAGACGAATGAATGAAAAAAATGAGCAGACGAATGAATTAGTAAATCAATGAATGAATGAAAGAACGAATGAATGAAGAATCTAATAAATGAATGAATAAATAGTTAAATAATAGAAAAAAACAACAAACAAACAAACATATGAATGAATAAAAAATATGAAAAAAATACAAAGTAGCAGCAAAACTCGTAGCATTCAATTTTACGCTGACTTATCTGTATGGTCCTATGTTAGCAATAATACCAACAATAATATATCAACACATAATTAATTGCAATTGACCCATCAACATAATTTCATCATAATCTCATCATAATTTTATCATAATAAAATTAAATACTAATAATTGTGAAACGTATATATAAACCAGCAGTAACTTTTTCATGAGCAAATTAAATAAACAGAGTAGGTAAGCAGAATATAAGAGCACTTAAAATGACAAAGAAATCGACAAAAAGGAATAATTTTACAAATTTATCTAACAAATAGATAAATAAATCAAAATAAATATAGTATATTTTTTAAGATAACATAATAAATAAATAATTATTATATTTCAAAAATATTTATTATTACTAGAACGTAGTATGCCTGCTGTCAGGCAAAGAAATAGTGGCTAATTAAACCAAAAGAAAAACATGGTATTCCCAAATTACTCTATAAAAAATATATAAATTATATTTAAATTATTGTGGTCTACATATATATATTAATATATATATTAAAAGGAATATTTTTTAAAATGCAACGGAAGTACAAGCTTCTCGTACTTCAACATATTTCTTTTTTACTATTATCAACTTACTCGCATTTAAATTAACCTTCAGTCAACTGATATTTTGTCACTTCATTTCCTAATTTATTTTCAACATAGTGACATATTGAATAGAGACAACAACAATAGATTGCCTGCTAAGAATGAAAAGTTTCAATCCGAAAGACTGGACTAAATGTTGAGATAATAATGAGTTTGTTTTAATTATATTATAATTTTGCTGATGTACATTTTCCTATTATATAAAATAAACTGCTACAATTACTTTCAACTAAAAAATACTGAAATCAATTATTACAATTAAAGGAATAGTATGAAAACTAAAAATTTCATAATTTAAAAGAAAGATGATGACTGGAATCTCAATAGAGGAATCATCAACCAGATCAGAAAAATGTGAAAAATTCTAGTTCATATTTGTCTAAAATAATTAATCATAGAAATAAGAATAAATATTTTAACTGTCATAATGATGTAGACAATAAATAATTAATGTCAATAAATCCACCAGACAACAGACGAACACAGAGACTGACAGACAGACAGGCAGACGGACAGACAGACAGACAGAAAAAAATTATTCATCCATTCCCCAATTAACAACGTCATTAGATCTTTTATTGTTCAAAAGTTTGTTCAACTTTCTGTAGCTTATTCCTACCCTTTTGTTCTTTTTTGCAGTGCTGTTGTTGAACATTCCGAGCAGGATCTCCTCATTGACAAACCAGTTGATCTCCAAGGCCACATCTCTCAACACTGCCAAATCTTCAACCAGCTTCTTGTACTTCATAGGAAAATAAACGTTCGAGGAAAATCTCTCGTTTCTTGTTCTTCTAAGGAATTTGTCCTCAATGAGGTTGTAGCGGTAGTTGTGGTTGTGGGTGTGTGTCTGGCTGGAAAGTTTTTTCAGCCAATGATTTAGAAGGCAGCGCAATTCGAGAGTCTGATGGTGCAAGTGGTCGAAGAGGAAAATGAAGACGGCATTTTCCTCCTTCTCATTCTGCTGGCTGATTAGGAAATATAATTGAATGCTGCGTTGTTAACATTTATGAAATACAGAACTTATGAGTGCTAGTGCGAATTTGTTTTCCTGAACGCAAAAACTTTAATACATACAGCAGCCGTTATTTTGCTTTATTAATAATAATGATAATTTACAACTAAAAAAATTTACATGTTCATCTCTTTGATGTCCTCAGAGGCGGTCAGCAACCTTTGGGCGAAATAATCGTTCATGTCATCAAACAACATCTGCATGTTCAATCGGAACCATTCCTGTATTCGCCATCATTAGGTTGTTTAAGTGTATTGTATTGAATCACACACACGTATGCAATACTATATTAAGATAACAAAAGCAAAAATGCTAATAAAAAATAAATATGCATTAGATAATAAAAATTAATTATATAAATCTCAAAAAGCCAGACTCGGAGTATATAAAATTTTTGTGTCAAATTTAGGTAGGGTTAAAAATATTCATTTTAATGGTTAGAAACCACTCTCTAGGCCTAAAAGCTAGCGACACGACAAAGCGCAACAAGTCTCTGGCGCTATGTGAGTGACGATCGCATGACGACCGACGCTGTGTAGAAGAAAATGCTGAAAAAATTCTAACAGAAAGAACGTTAGAGTAAAAAATTAAAAAAGGGACATTTAAATAAAAGTAAAAAGTGAGATATTTTTTTAAAAAGTTCATAATAAATATTTTGTATTGACTAGTTACTTAAGGTTTTTGAAAAAATTAGAAATAATAATAAGAAAAAAATTATTATTAGAAACTATCATAAGGGAATTAAATAAAAATATATCTGAAGAGTTAAGGAAGAAGTATTCGCCACCGACCATGGCTCCCTGCTTCTCATCATTGAACAACGATCGATTCTTTAGGAAGTCTCTGACGGGAAAGTCCTCGAACTCCTTCAACAATTCTGAATGACCTCTGACCTACAAACAATTAAAAAAAACAAACATTTCACCAAATGACTATAACACGTAGAATGTAGACAAACAGTGATTGAAAGGATTGATACGATCGGAGCCGGTTAAAAAGACCATTGTTTATTATTGGCACCAGCCCCTTAATTCGCTCAAGTTACTCGATGTGGTCCGATTAGGCGACTTGTCTGTATTTATATATATTCAGTTATTGATAAGTATATAATTCTTTTGCATCACCCCAAGCCTTACAAACATAATGATGACAAATATGATGATAATAATGATGATTCGTGAGGAACATGGGATCGCACTCACCCCCTTCGAGTCGAGGATATAGTTCTTCAGATGTAAGGCTGAATTTTCAACGGCAGAGGCAGCGCCAAAGAGGTACATGAGTGACGTCTGGTTGTTCTTCGCAAGCCACTGTTGGCAATCAATCCTATGAACGACTGTATGGTTCAGCCATATTGGCCTAGGCAGAGATTTCTTTTCGCGGATAAGTTTTATCTCCCGAAGTATTTTGGTGGTTTGTTTTTCTGGTTGTTGTTGTTGTTGTGGTTGTTGTTGCTTATGTTCTGATTGTTCTAGCTTCTGAAGCGAGCTTTGAATTGTACTTAGAACTTGTACAATTTCATTGATGTTGATTTGATCGCTTGACTGGTTGGCGTTTTTGTTAACAGAATTTAATAAATGTTGCAGATGATGTTTATGTTTATGTTGGTGTTCTCGTGAGTGATGAATGTGTTTGTTGTGCAGTAGTTGCCGTTCCTGGTGGAGTTGTTGATGATGTGGTTTCACTGTTGAACTTGTGATTTGTTCCTTTTCTGGTAGATGTTGTTGTTGTTGATGATGATGTGGTTGGCTGCTGTCTGCTTGTTGTTGTTGTCGGGAGGCTTGAAAAAGTTGTTGCTCTAATGCTAGCTGTCGTTGTATCGGTAAGTGTTGTGGTTTCTGTTGAGTTGTGAAGGCGACGACGACGAGGATGCAGTTCAACAACACCAACGTCTTCAT